GAAGTAGGAATTTGAATGAATAAATAATAATAAAAATGACCGAACTACCCGAACGTGCACTTTTAACTAAGTACCCGTTAGTTCATTGTAAACATTGTATTTATTGTCAATAAAACAATTATATTTATAGTTCTGTAGAGCCCTGAAAAAGGCTTAATAAAAGCCAAAAGCTTCGGAAAAAATGCAGTACTTCACTTCGGGCCACACCCCAAACATCAATTTATTACACAGCATAAAAGAAATGACGATTGCAATAACCGACCTGTACAAACGAAAAAAGACATACGCAACCACTACCTTTTTCATTTTCCTTTCAACCTTTTCTCCTTTGACAAATATATACCATGGGGTCTGGTAAATAAAAACTACACAAAGACCAATGTTGAAAGTGAAATGTCGAAATTACAGAACAAAATAGCGAGGACATCGACAAGAAAGCTCCAAAGAATCAAATAGAAATCATTGTCTGTTTCTTTCTTTTATGTGGGTTAAAAACTAAAACTAAACTACACTAACAGGCAAAAATTTCACTTGTAATATAACTTGATATGCATATATTTTTACATATTAATCGAAGTTTCACGTTTTTTAACGTTTAATAATTGAGTCTTTGTCTAAAAAAGTAAAAAAAGTGTAAATTGCTAAGGAAAATGAAACAAAAAAAGGATAGATAAAATTTCTTTTAATTTTGTTTATATTTTTAATTAACATTTTAATATCGTGTATTTTCTCCTCTTGCCTTAATTACATATCGAAGACGCCTTGGCATGCTTTCTACCAGTCTGGAAATGTTTCTTTGCTGGAGGTTAGCCCATTCTTCACGATGAGTCCTTTCAAGATGTATCAGGATGTGATGGATGCGGATTCGTCTTTTGAGGTTATCCCATAAATGTTCGATGGGTTCAAATCTGGAGAACGGGATGACGAGGCTAAGACCCTGATGACAACTATGCGAGCGACATGTGGACGGGCTTCATCCTACATTAGAATAGGATTGTCGCTGATTTCTTGGAAGCTAGGCAATGCATGATGTTTCCAAATTCCATCGGCATAGCTAGTGGCCGTCAAAGAGGAGAAGAACTAGAACCAACTCTGTGCGATTCTCCATTGAAATTCCCGCCCACGCCATCACTGTGCTATCACCAAGAGCTGTGTTCTCGAGCAAATGCTAGCCGTGCAATCTGCTCTGGTCAATGCTGATCCTGAAAGCCATCAGTCCATACTGATTTCATCTTCTTCGACCAGTGTGCTGAGAAATTTGGACACCTCGAACTTCCTGGAGCTGATGAATCCGCTTAAGCGACAGTAAGGTGCCGGTTTCGCCAAATTCTCAAAGTCCAAAACGGTCCTTTGATTCTGTTACCCTTGGGCGTCCAGGGCAGGGACTATGGTAGGACCCATTTTCACGAAAATGTCTAACGGCGTCTCGCTGAATTTTTTATTTTATTTGATTATATTTTTTTATTTATTTACAGTCCAAACAGGTCAGGTACCCAAGCATAGGACAGTCAAGCAACACAACAAAACAATCATTATCATATAAAATACTAAAAAAGGATATAAAAATAATAGCTGTAAAAATAACAGCAAAGAAGCGCTTACACTTTTAACAAAAAATCAATATTATAAATAGATTAATAAATAGCACAACAAAAGTAATAAATAAACCCTCAATTACATTTTAAAGCACGTTTAATATTTTTTTAAAGATCTGAAGAGACGCGGAGAAGGGGTCCGCACTGATAGCGAATTTATTTAAGTAATGCACAGCTGTAGAGATTGAAGACTGTAACCCATATTTGGTCCTGTGCCGTGAAGTACCAAACAATTCATGGGTCCGTAGTTCACGCTGAGGAACCCTAAAGCCAATAAAAGATAATATCTCCGGAGAATCAATAAAATTACTTAGGATCTTCCACAGAAACACAACGGAAGCCAAAACTCTTCTATCCTCCAACTAATCCAGACCTACGAGAGCAAGTCTGGCTTCATAGGAGCAATGAAGGTACTTCCTGTGATTGCATAATTTCTAATACTAATATTTTGTATGGAATAAAGCTGGCAGTAGCCGCATACCTGATGCAACATCCATCATCAATAAGTGGCACACCACGCGCAACATCCTCCGCACTAACTGGCACTTTTAAGTTTAAAAATTGAAATAAATAAAACAAAGATGAAAACTAAATAGTTTATTGCTTCAGAATTCAAATGAGACTGAATAAACATTTTAAATTCCGAAAAAAGTAAACATTGAAAAATCCTCTATCCTTGTTTTGGATTAATGATTCAGCGTGTTTACTTCTAATTGAAATTTCCAATTTAAAACAAAGCATAAACAAATATTTATTGGTAAAAAACAATGAGACAAAATAAGGGCGGAATTGTCTTTTATCGAGAAAAATAAATCAATTGATTAAATTTTTTGCCTGTCAGTGTATAATTCGCAAACTAATATATGAATGCAAAGCGTGTGAGAACTAAAATAAACACATTTAAATAATTAAGTCAATGCGTAAATATAGTGTGTTTTGTAACTTCAATAAACATCACTCCTCCATTACGTGTGAAATGGCTGTCTCGGGTAACAAACGTTATTTACTTGATGAGTGAGATCTGAAATGGATTTGAAACTTGAGACAATGCACATAACGATCCAGGCACGTGTCATCGTAACGAAAATTCGGATTTAAACTATCACGGTTCCAAGTCGGGATGGAGTGTCCTTTATTCTTCATCCAACCGTTCTGGACAGATCCACGTTCTTCGATAAAAAAGTCATGAGAACAATCGATACTACTTTTTGTAATGGATGTGTGGCGATTTTGTTTAAAAACCTTTTTAATATCATCTTGTTTGGTTACTTTAGTGCTGTGTTCTTGTAAGCTTTTCTAGCAAAGATATGGATTTATTTATTTTCGTTTAGTTAAAATTAGTTAAATCAGCCTAAAAGCCATAACTTAAAACGGTTGATAATTAGTGGAATTAAGTTTCTGATAGGGTGGGAAAACATGGTTTTGCAAAATCAACTATAATTTTCCGACTTGCTCGTTAACTGTCTTCTCAGAAATATTGCACGTTCATTGCCATTTAACTTCACTTCGCGGTTTCTGCCGTCGACATCGCATTTTCATTGTGACAACAATAGGAGTTATCAACATTGCAACACGGATTAAAAATACATTTGAATTGTGAAATCTCGTCACGACAAACTGGAATCAATTCCGACTCGGTTGAAAACACTCCAATCAGTCCAGATATATATGAGGAATGAGAAATAAAAAAAAAAGATAAATGTTGGAATGAGTGTGGTGTTCAATCCTTATTAAAAAAGATAGTTCCTACTCACCGTAAGTTGTTTTGCAACGATCCGGATTTCGAGCCCTTTAGGTCATCATCAGGTTGAAGGACTTCTACAACGTATGACGAACTATGTCGTATTACTGGGAAATCCAATAAATTAAGACTCAAATTTTGTGGATCTTTCCCCGTCCGAAGAATAGTGGCAAAGGAATTTAATAAAATAAATGATTCGATTACAATTGTATAAAAAAGGACTTTAATTAAAAGATAAAAAAAAGAACAACAACAAAAGAATCTTCAGCACATTATTTTTAAATAAGAAATAAATCACCAAACGCATTCATTAATAAAAAATACAAAAAATTAAAACAAAGGCTCACTGGCGTTGAAAAAAAGATATGATGCGAAGTCGACAAACTGTAGTCTGAGAAGACGATGAATTCAGTCAAGGCTCAATTCCGCAAATTTTCTTCAATTTATGAATCTTCCGACCTCAGGAAACATCTAAGAGAGACTGCCGCGGTTCTTTCCATTCCCGACATGTTAGGCGCTTCAACCAATCAGATTGATATGACAATTGTTGATGCTCAATGCATTATAAATAACATCTGTCGACATGAATTGCAAAAGTAAACCCGCTGTAAACCTGTCCGAGCTGGTAGTGCACAAATCACTACATTTAATGGATACTTCAAGTATGAAGATCAAATATATACACAAAAAGAAGGTGTGGCCTTGGGAGGGACTGTTTCACCGGTGCTTGCGGACCTGGTAATGAATGAGCTACTAGATTAGATTGGACTTAATTTTGGATTTCACATCAATTTCTTAAGAAATATGTTGATGGTTTGTTCCTGATTATAAAAAAGAGTGAGCTGGTGGACATTTTGAAGGCGTTCAATTCTTTCCATCCGTCACTACAATTTACACAAGAAACTGAGGTAGATGGGAAACTTCTTTTTCTTGATTTAGTTGTCATTAGAAGCAAATTAATAACTAACTGGTATTTGAAACCAACCAGCTCGGACAGGATGCTACATTTCTCATCCATCCATTCTTTCCAAATGATAGTTAACATAGTTTTTAACCCCATTGATAGGGCTCTGAAATTGAGCGATGATCGGTTCCAAAATGAGAACAGGAAAAAAGTGCGCTCTATGTTAATAGATAATGGTTACCCAAGATCATTAATAAATAGATTAATGGAAAACAGGACAATAGCAACAAGGAATGAGAATATACCTGCCGAGCAAAAACTTTATCAACCAGTTACATATGTAGCTGGAACATCAAGTAAGTTAAAAAAAAACTGTTGAAAAAAATAGATAATGTAAAAATTGTTTACAAATTTAATAATAAAGTGGGTAAGAATTTTTACACAAAACTTAAAAGTAAAGAACCTCTATTACAAAAATCTAATGTAGTGTATCGCATTTAAGCATTGTTTTAAGCAAGATTTAAAACGAAAACCAAAAATAGTTGAAAAAACATCAAATGTTGGATATTTGCGAAACGTTTGAGGATCGGGCCATAGTGATTCGAACTTTTTTGTTTCATTTGAAGTTTAGAAGCATTTGACTAAATTTTTCGTACGAGTAGCAAATCACCCTGTATCAAATTTTGTTTTTTCTCAAGAGTTTTCCTTAGCAAGAATATGCTATGTGTTATGTTTTAAGCAATGTTTTAATAAAAGTCAATTTTTTACTCAAGAGCTTTTTTAAATAAAAAAGTGCTTTTTATAATTATCAGAAAAGGGCTTCTTCTTCTGCTTGGGCTTCTTCTTCGGTCTTGACTTTCGGGACGTCTTGCACCTGAATCACTATGAGCACGTAGGATTTCTCTACAATATAATTAAAGTTTTAGTTTTCACATATAAATTTTGTTTTTTGGTCGTTTAAATTGTTACCCGGGGCGACGAGAATCTCCTGTTTTCTGGATCTAAGACGCAAGAAGGTGAGATCGTTGTTCGGATCGAGGTCTCTCACCGCAGAGCGGGCTTTGTCGCACAAATGCGTGATCAGAGCTGCGTACTGGACCGTCACGTTTGTGTCCAGGGTCGATCTTATCGGCACTCCTAATGATAATAACTATAAATTCACTCGAAAAAGAAATATCAATTGCTTAAAATAAGAGTGAGCTATTTAAAAAACTATTATAAGTTGAACTCGCTGCAGAGAAATTAAACATAAATTGAGACGTGGCCACAACGGTTTAGGGATTGACACGGTACTCATCGTTGTAAAGTAAAGTCAACAAAGTCTTACAAATGTACTTTTTTTCAAAAACATACCGAGGATTGATATGAACTGTACTGTTGCGACCAGCAAATAATTGAACTATTGTAGTATTAAAAGTGGTACCGATGTCTATTAGATCATATCAATCATATCGAGAAGTAGTAAATAATAATATCATATTTGATAAGAATTTGTTGGTGAGCTGACCGTATCCTTGTTGCTGGCATCATTATACAAGTATTTGATCGTTTTACCTTCCCCGTTGATAACGATTAGGCCGATGACACCCTTGTGCATCTGAACCTTCTTTAGCGTGTCGTCCAACTCACTAGACATTTTTCAAATTATGCAATATCAAGGTGTAAAGAATTAGCAAACTCCTGAGCGAAATAACAAATATATTACCAAAACTGTGAAACACTTCTAGAATCAGGTGACAACGTGGATTAATCAATAAAATTACATCTGTCGATGTATCCATTTTCAAACCGCGAAACGGTAAATGCATTTATTTAAAAAAATTGTCGTGTTTTCAGAGTGCAGATTGCTTTGAACCAGGTCACTTTTCCTTTTAAGACCAGCAATTGGTATAAGTAACAACATGTAGATTTCTATAACGCATTGCACTTAGGGTTAGGGATAAAAGAGGTGGCCACAAGGCTTGAATAGATCTATTGCGCTCCCTTGTTATTTATAACTCACCCCTGAACCAGCCTCCACAGCTTTGCCAGCGTCTCCTTAGTGTAGAATATTGCTTGTGGTTTTTCTTGTCCTAGTTGCAAGAACCTCCATCTACATAGACCTTCACAAAAATATAGAACGTGTTCTGCGGTCTCCTCTTCTTCCTGACAGTATCTGCACAGTGTTTCTTCTGTCTGTACTCCTATCCGGTGCATGTACCTCCTTCAGTGGCAGTGGCCTCTCAGGAACCAGAATCCGGTGGTTGCGGTTGCCTTCCAGTAATTCTTTTGTAAGTTTTGCGATGGTCCTTCTATAAATCTCTTCGCGTGAATAATACCTGTAGTATTATTCTACCAGGCTTTGGACTCATTAAGGATCCATTTTAAAAAGTATTCTTTTTTGTGGCAGGCCGCTAAGCAACAGTAGGGTTTAGGGACCACAGAGTCCATGTTGTCTCGAATGTACAGGGACCACCCATGCCAGGGTCAGGTCATTAGTGTCACTGACTTCCATCAGGGCCTACATGCAGTTCCAAACACACTTTCCCTTCGCTTCGCATGAGGTTAATGCTCTAAATGCTGCCTGGCGGACAGAGAAAATGGCTATCTTCTGGGAATGCATTCCTAGCCTTTTTTTATTTCTTTGGCAAATTGTTCCATCGCTATGATTTTAGACTGGAAAACTAGCATATTTACCTAGGTTCACCGTCAGTTCGTTCTTTGGGTACATCCCGAAGACTCCACCTCCCATACCCTTGTCGGTTTAGGAGCCGTCAGTATACCAGTAGGGTTTGCCTTTAGCGGTGTTCCTTTGGCCCATTATTCGTTCTGGTGTCAGTACCTTGTACTTTTAGTAAAATTGTATTTTGGAGTAGTAGCATCAATTGGTATGCCTCGAATGGCTTCTGCCTGTATCTCTTGCCTCAGTTTCAATTGTTTATTGACATGACCTATCCTTGCAGGTTGTCCATTGACGAGTGTGTGAGCTGCTTTAGCTTCTCCTTGGATTGAAATATGAAGTGCTGGGAGGTTTAACAACACTTCCAAGGCCGCAGTTGGCGTTGTGCTCATGGCACCAGTAAAACTGAGACAAGGTTTTCTTTAGGTGCCTCTTATTAGCCTTATTGCTTTGGCCTAAGGCTTTGGTGCTTTGGTAAAGGTCCACCACACCACCGACCCATATGTCAACATTGGTCTTAGGACACAGGTGTATAGCCAAAGGGTCATTTTGGGATTTAGACCTCAGTTCTTGGCGAAGAGCCTTCTGAACCACCCCCACGCAATTTTGGTTCTCTGGGTAGTTTTAATCAGATGTGAATTCCACGTTCCAGATATTTGGTCTCCTTGGAAAATGGAATCAGAGTCCCGTTTAGACTTGGAGTTTTTAAGCTTCCTATTGTCCTCTTCCTTGTGAATGGAATCATTATGGTTTTATGAGGGTTGGTAAATACTTTTGTCCATACTTTTGTACCACCTGTCAACCAGATTGAAGGCTTGTAGTTTACAATGTTTTCTACTACGTCAAGGTCGTCCGCATTGCCTAGGCAGTAGAATACTTCTTGTTCCAACGTTTTTAGGGGTTAACTTAACAGGGGGTCGAGCGATTCGGCACTGATTGCGGCCTTCGGCGAAAAACGGCCTACAGCGAAGGCCGTAACTCAAAGAACGTTCCGCCACAAAAAGTATACATTTTTCGTACGTTTTGATTTATGAACGGCTTCTGCTCTAGAATAGAAATAATGCCCGATCATAAAATATCCCTAGATGCCAAGTTTTCCCTGCTGAAGTTTTCGCCGAATGTTAATTTTAAAATTTTTACGCAAATAACGGTTTACCTATTTGCAGTGGTGATTAAAAATTTAAGATTATATTTTGTCGAAAAATCCTTTCCTCTATATAATTTGTAAGGTTTCTTACTTCTAAAATGTTTGTACATTAAGCGTTGTCTTTTTTGCAAATGTCCTGTTAATGGTTTTCTGATTGATAAATGAAATGTCCTTGCTGTTTTCCTTTCCTTACAGATGAGAGGCAGAGGTCCTAATTGTTTGGCTCGAGAATTAACCAGTCTCTTTTAGAATCTTTTAGAATCTCTTCCATCTTTTATTTGTCCTCCCCGCTCACGTTTATCGCCTTCCAGCGAGAAATAAAATGGGTTCCGATTTGAAAGTGATACTTTCTGCTATCCAAGAAATTTTATAACTTTTATTTTTTATATAAATAAATAAAGTTTCAAATTTAGCTTTAACAGTACAAAACGAATAGACGAACAAAAATTTTAATTTTACAGGTATATTATATTGAAATGTGTTTTGTGCGATTGGAAAAATGGCGAGTAAAGAACAATGTATTATTTTCCCTATAAGAAGACGTATTTGGCTTAAAAATAAGCTCTTTTAAACTTTCATGTATAATTCTAAACATGTATGTCTTAATTTATATAATTAAAAGACCATTGCATAGCTGGTTAGGGTTGCTCTTATTAAAATGTCTACATCCATGATTTTCGAACATTAACAGTGTGCTGTTAACCCAATTTGTAAGCGGTGAAACCGCTCTCAGCACCGAAATAGGCCAAGAAATGTCTGTTTTATAACATAATATGTGTGCTGTATGATACAATAGAGAAAAGAATTGACCGTAGGTAAGTGCTATTACTAACTAATTGAACCGAAACCTCCATAGGATCGTTAGGTTTTGCCACAAATGGAAACTCAGGTTAAACACAACAAAAACTGAGGCAATTGTATTCACAAAACGACAACCTATACATAGAGAATTTATAAGAATCGGTGACTCAAATGTTCCTTGGCACAATAGTGTCCAATACCTTTGTTTACACCTCGATAGCAAGCTTAACTTTGGTATCAACTAATTAAGGTTTTTAGTTGAGATGAAAAAAAGTTAATGGGACGAGCGGGATTCGAACCCACGATCTTCGGCTAGATGACAATGTTGAGAAGAAAATGACTAAGGACGTTCGTACGCCTTGTTGTCAACTCACGACAGGGAAGATCAAACGAGAAGTTGGTGCTTATCTTGGAGAATGAGATTGGAGTCTGGGAGCCACTGGGAGCCACTGGGAGCCAGGGGGACGACGTCAAAGGTGCGTTCGTTCGTACCCGTCGGATGCGAGAGAGCGACTTACTGAAGACAGCTGATGTACGTTCGTGCGTACAGGTCGAAGACCAGGGAGCGACTCACTGAAGACAGCTGATGTACGTTCGTGCGTACAGGTTGAAAACCAGGGAGCGACTCGATGAAGACAGCTGATGTACGTTCGTGCGTACAGGTTGAAATCGAGGGAGCGACTCGCTGAAGACAGCTGATGTACGTTCGTGCGTACAGGTTGAAATCCAGGGAGCGACTCGCTGAAGACAGCTGATTACGTTCGTGCGTACAGGTTGAAATCCAGGGAGCGACTCGCTGAAGACAGCTGATGTACGTTCGTGCGTACAGGTTGAAATCCAGGGAGCGACTCACTTTTTTTACGACGTCTTGCTGAAAATTGACCTGTTTCTCCCTCCAGCATCTTGATCCTTACAAATTTTCCTTTTTCACAATTTTTCAAGATGATAAATTTAAGATAACAAATGACGATTTCTTAATTAACTATTAATAAATAAAAATGTTTACATTGGCGTAAACAACGCCTGTCAGGTATGGAGCTACACAAGTAACACCAATATAAAGTGCCTACAAACTACTCAAAATAAATTTTTAAGGTTAATAACATCCTCTAAAAGAAATGTTCGTATAAGCTAGATGCACGAAATTTTAAACATCCCATTAAACATCATCATTAAGGATGATATCAAAAGGATAACTAGTTCCTTTTCTGATCATAGCGCTGAAAGTACAAATATGACAGTAAAGAATGTAGGAAACTATATCCTCAACAAAAATTAGAAACACAGGAGGATCAAACACATTTTAGTATGACTGCTTTGTATATTTATTCACTGTGATATTATTTACTAAATTATTTATTAAATTGTTTAATTTTACTTGTTTATATATGTATTTATTTATTTATTTACCAAATGCGTAAATGTTTGACTATGTATTGTACAAGTCTATTCAATGATTTTAATTTATAATAATTAGCAATTATTTATTAACTTGCTTATTTATTAATTTATTTATGAAATTAGTTATTATTAAGGTAAATGTGTTGTTTATCAAACTTATCTATTGTACGTATGTAGTCAATAATTTATAATATATGTAATTATTCGTAACTTCCCTATTTATTAATGTATTCTTTCTGCAAGTGCTTTTTATAATAATTTTCACCACTGTTCTTATTTCTCTAGGCCAAATCGGCAAATATTATAAATCTAATTAAGCCCTCTGCCATAAGGATGTATAATGTCCTAGACATTTCCTCTTGTAGACACTTTGTACTAATGTATTGAAAAGTATCTAAAAGTATAATAAATAGGCCAAGATTTGTCTCCTTTATAACATAATATGTGTGCTGCATGATACAATAGGGAAAAGAATTATCCACGTCAGATTGGATTAAGGAACTAGGAAAGTATATAAACCTGAAGGCTGCATTGTTTGGGGAACATAAACCCTCTCTTCTTAGTATCCTTTTATTATAATCATCATTATGATATAATATCTAAAGACACAAGAAAAAAGAATAATCATCTACTCGGATATCCAAGCGGCACTGAGATCAACTTTCTCATCGTCTGTAAGGTTCAGAGCCGTTTGGAACTGCATTAAATTCTGTCAGACATTGTGG